TTCTGATCTGTCTTACTCCGACTCTAGAAAATTATGGTTCATAATTGTCTCTATCTAGGCATAAAAAATGACTTGGTCCCTTAAAAATGGGTAGTTACCTAGAGACCAAGCCTTTCAGAATAAGCCAGAATACGTACCGTTTTCTTCCTTCAGAGCATGGAGTCTCAACTTCGTTTCTGTGAACTTTTAACGTTACAAATTCAGTTGTGCGATCTTGAATATTGAGAAGGAGAGGCATCAATGGTGTAAAAATCATGTTACTTGTGCACATATTTAATAAGGAGCAGCCCTATATATCACTGAGCAATCTTTGTTCTTCGAACACATGAATTTATGGGCGAAGCTTTTCAGATTCAATGGTGACATCTTTTGGCACATTGCCTTTAAATAGCTCCAATGTAACCGTGGTTTTTCCTCCAGCTTAGCCTTTAGTTTTCATCATGAAACCTCTTTTTCTATTTCATGCCTTACATTCCAAACACAGTTCTCTCTTTGAACCTTAGCCATATTTGTCTTTGTCAACGACTGAACTTCATTGGAGTTTTCTGACGACGACTAAACTTCATCAGAGTTAATGGTCCTGGTCAAATCTGTTTTATAGCTTCCATATGAAAATTTGCATGTTAGTGGTAAATACTTGTCTCCCCCAAGTAATTATATCTTTTTTGCCCTGTTCATGAGACTTTATAACAAACATGTATATACATGTTATAAACACTTGCAATTTTATTCATGTCATTTATCCTATTTGATTAAAATGTTGGAAATTTTTCCATCCCTTGCTTCCCAATCGTGGAATAATCTGGTAATCCAACAAATTTCTTCAAAGTAATTTAACTTCAAAGTAATAAGTAATATAATAGAATATGAGCGAGCTTGTAGGCCCCAGACAGAGCTCAAAAGCCCCCTAGGTAACATTGATTCGGAAAAATGTTACCTCTCTAACTTGGTATCCATGAAGATTGCCACTGCGATTATTGGAGTACCACCTTACTCCGACACTGGGTTTAATGCCCATGAAAAATCCTTTTACCATATATTTGTCATAATGTATTTGTCGGATGAAAGATGAAAAAGTGATAAGTCTTACCCAGAATGACCTCCAAAGTTCAAAGTCGAATAAGCGTTCCTTTCTCAATATGTTGTCTTGTTCGTTGACCTTGCCCTGTTTTGGGTTAGAGGATTTAGATATGCCTATAACTAAGAAGGGGCTTCATTCTCAGTCCTGATTGCTGGTTTGTCCCTAGTGAATCTTAAACAAAAGTTCGTCAGGGACTTGGTCACCTGCATGTGGATTGAAAACACTTTTCAAATCCTTTTGTCAGACCCTATGCATCGGACCAGAGTGTTTCCGATTGGACTACACTTAGTTGGCTTGGCTAAGGCACTTCTGTGTATTGGAGCTTTATTGGAATAAAATTCCTCTTGAGGATTTCCTAGTCCAAATGCCTCATTCAGACCTACTTAATATATGGTGTTGCAGAACTTACTTGACTTAGTACGTTGGTTTAGGATAAGAATGATCGTACGCAAGGTTGGGACTCAAAGCCACCCTTTAGATTATTCTTGGATCACCTTTTTGTTCATTCCCTAGAATGCATAAAGCATAGGTTTGAGTTTTATAACTCATAACCCACAACCTTCAGGTTGCATAATCTTTTCAAGAGTTGGATGGTGCACTGGAGTTCCAAATCAGGGGGTTATGTGCCATGTCCCCGTACCCATTGCCCGCTAATCGTAACCACACTTGTTACGCTTCGAGTCTCCCAAATTGCTAATTGAACAATACGCGAAGTTTCAAAGTTTTGTGTTATTTGGGTTTTTAGGTATTTCACTACCCCACAAAAGAAAAAAGAACGAACAAGTGGGTATCATAACTCTAAAAAAAAATAAAAAATAAAAAAAAAGAACTTTGAGAATTCTTTTATTGAAAAAAGACTTGTGTTGACAAAGGGGTGTGATTGAATCCGAAAAGGATTGCCTACATATTCTCGAAAAAGGGAACCAAATTACTGGTGTAGTTCAAGAAAGATGGTACAATGTAAAAATTTTTCATTGGACCATTCTCTGACGAATAACCTATGGTGAGGCGATACAGAAATGAGTTCTCCAGGGACTTGTATACGCGTAGACGGTGACGTGTTAGGCATAGTATTGTCTGAGCTTGGTGATGTTCCACCACTTGGTGATCAGAGTTCCATCCATGCGCTCAAGGTTGTAAGCAATATTAAGACTCAAGTAGTAGGTAAGAGAATAAGTATGCAGATGTTGCATTACCAGAGATGAACCCTAGAAGGGTGTATTTATATTAGTCGAGGAGATGACCTTTTAGCATAGTAGAGTCCGTATTAAACCTAGAGAATCCCATAGGGTATCTAGGAAGTAGATACTGCATCCTCCGAGAGTTTGATTACTTGCGGTGCACCCCAATCATTAGATTATAATAACTCCAAGATTATAGGAAACCTGCTGATTCCTTGCTGGATTGGGTTCCCGAATCTTGCGGGACAAGAATGGTCTATCTTAGCGAAGTCGACGGACATGAACTTCACCTAATGATTCCAGAACATGATGACGGTGGCATCGCTGATCCATTTAGTCAACTCTTAATAGAGGTTGTTGAGTCCATGACCAAATTCCTAAGGTTGGCATATTCGGATCCGTCTTACTCCGGTCCTGGAAAATCATGGCCCACAGTCATGATAATGTCTCCGCGGAGTGGATGATCTATTGGCAGTCCTCTCTTTAAAGTTGTCCAAGCGACTGTTTTGTCATAATCGATAATCTTGGCTTTTTCAGTAAGGAAGCGCTGAGTATACTCCATGATAAACTAGTTGGGCTTCTTGACTACACTGAAGAGATAGTCAAACAAATTATTGACAACATGCTCAAAATTAGCCACAATAGGATAAGAACTTCTATATTCTATAAGGTTCTACTTTTACGTTTATATAATCACATTCTTAAAAATAACTTTTTTCGCAACAGGAAAGATGTGAACTCAATAATTATGCGTCATGAAAAAGGACCACACATAGACAACATGGTCAAGATAACCATAATAACCTTATCACATATGCTATTGGTTGATATTGGATGATGTTGAGAAAAACAAGGCAAAATGAAGCACATATGTAATTCTCGGGGGAGGTTGAATATCAACTTTTTGGGTGCAAAATAAGACTCAAATTTGTTTTAGAGGTTGGCACAGTTTGGTTCGATGCGGTTCTGGGTTGAAACCAAAACCAAAATCGAATTCTTTTGATGTGTGGTTCGATGCGATTTTGAAGCTTGAACCGAAATAGAACCGAACCATTTAGTTGCAGTTCAGTTCAACTTCAAATGGTTTTGGTTTCAATTTCATACCATTTCCAAATTTGAAAAGAAATTCAAGATCACAAAGCTAAAATTCAACTTCAAATAAAGTTCAACATCAAAGGGCCTTATGGCATTACTTTAGGAAAAGCCCAATTGAAAAGGTTAAGCTCTAAAACTAAAGTTTAAACAAATTTCAACATCAAAATGCCTTGTGGCTTTTAGTAGTATAACCCGAAAAAATAAATTGTTTCATACTGTTCAACAAAAAGGTTTTGGTGCTTCAATTTTTAAGTCACTACTTTACATCGTTCAACCCTCTCTTTCCCTTTCCTTTTGGAAATTTACTTTTCGAAGGTTGAGGAGGTCTTTGAGCTTGTGAACGAGATTGAGAAGGCGATACTTGGGAAGACCTTGGACCTTGTGAAAGTGAAACTAATGGATGAGAAATCAATAAACCTTCTGAATTAGAAGCTTGAGATTGCCTTGAAACTTGTTGTTGTGGTTGTGGATTAAGAGTAAGAGAGGCGATACTTGAATTCAAATTGGCCAACTCTACACAACACAAATACATGAACAATATAAATTACATTAGTTGTTATAAACTTTAAAAATTCCACAAAAATTTCAAACACACATTGAAAAAATAAAATTAAGAAAGCCCACAATATAAGTTACCTAATATCAGCATTAAATTAAGGGAGTTTTAACGAAAAACCCACGGTACTGTTCACTTTAATGAAAAACCACATTTTTACACTAAAAAGTCAAACCTGGTACTATTCACTTTACCCTTTATTTTGTCCTTATCGTTATAACTCAAAGTTTTCAAGCTCTTTTCATTAGTTTTGCTTTAAATTAACTATCCCTTTTTATTAATTTTCTAGGTACTTGAATTTTTCATTTTTATTTGTTGTTTTCATTCCACACATGTAGGTAGACAACAACGAATCAGTTACAATCAAAGAAAAACATCAACTTTCCACCCATTCAAGTACATAAATAGATGGAAAATTCAGTTCACATAGGTAGTTTAATTTCATTCCACCCCTAAATATAAACAACAACAACTAAGAATCAACAAAATATGAGTATTGAACATAAGCTACCTGTTCTACAGAAACCCACAAACCCTAATTCACACGTATTTAAAACCAAAACTCATGCATGCATTGATTGTTGTAGGAATCATATATATATATATATATATATATATATATATATATAATATCTAATAATTTGAATCTGAAGTATACAACGCAGGAATTAGAAAGATTTTTTTTCTTTCAAAATCATTGGAATCGATGAGATAAGGGTTTGGAGATACGTGTATAAACTTAACGCCCTAAAAATCGTTGGAATTTGGTAAATTCATTTAAAAAACTATACAGTGGTAAGTGTTGAAATTCATGGGAAACTTATGGACATAAATAATTGACATGGAGATATAGTCTCTTAGTAGACCCCACCTAGGATGATGCAACACTAGTGGACTCCTTTCAAATCAGCCTCATAAAATTCTACTCATATTAAAAGACCCCTTTATTTAATTTTTAATTTTTGGGGTTCGATTTTCGGTCCAAGTCCCCACCCTTTTAAGGCAGAAATGAATATTTAAGCATAATTACGAAACCTTATAACTTTTAGGCATCCCCAACAAATCCACAAGACAAGACAAAACTGAATTAGAGTCCAAATTCATAGGCCTGCATTTGCATAACTAGATCAATGTCATGCTTTGCATGGAATACAAATATAGTTTTACATATAACACACAGTCACAGTACTTCCACAGAGATGTCTTCCAATTTGTTTTTGAGTTAAGACACACATATCACTCGTATGTTACAATAACTCGACTTTATTTAGAGATTATAAGGAAGTGCAACTCTCCATCTGTGTCTCCACTTCTTAACCAGGGAAACTAAGGAAGCCTGAAAATACCGAAAACAAAAACCGATTAGCAATTTCATTGAAGATGTTGAAGAATGAAAGCATCATAGCGGTACAATTATACTTAACGAACATCATGAATTTGTGATACGCTGAGGAAAGGAGCCAAACGGCCCAAAGAAACATGAGGTACAGGAGAAAGGAAAAAATAGCATAGCCCACATGAGCACTTGAGCTAATCACAGGCTAAAAACAAAAAAAAAAAACCTACATCAAAACTCAACGGCAACGAAGGCGTGGCAACCCCACTGCTATCTTTGAAAACAAGCTTGTGCCACGAAGGAGATGGACCATGTTCAACCCAAGCTTTCATTAAGACCTTCCTTAAATGGCTTTTTTTTACTTAAAAGAAAAGTAAACTTAAAAGAAAAGTAAATTAAAATTTTTAAAATTGGTAATGTGTAAAATTCGACCAGATCATGCTGAGATGAATAAGCTTGAGAGAACAACCCATGATAAGCAAGCAAACCCTCCGCGTGGACAGCAAAATATCCCTTATCTACACAGCTCCCTAGTATTTTACTACCTTTATTCTTCGTCGTATCATCAAATAAGCACAAGCCAAAAGTCAAAGCAAAAGCCAACAGCAAATAGCATATATATTTGCAAGCGGCTCACCCCAGTTTGAGAGACAAGATGTCGGAGCAGTCATCTTCGAGAGAAAGAGCACTGCTGGAGCATGCGGTGACATTTGTGGCTGATTCAGATGTCATGCCTTCTTCTCCAACATTATTCAGGTTTTCCAACTCCATGATCGCCGCCGGTTCGATATCTCCTCTAGCGGATAACATCACCAACTGCCATGCAAAAACAACAAAGAAAAAGATCGCCCAAATTTAATTTTTAATTAAGTTTTATTACTTTCATTAAATAAAATAGAAGAAAAAATATAAATGGTGGTAGTTTCTTACCCTCTGCTTTAGCTGGTTGTTAGCTTCTATAAGCTCAGCTCCCTGCATGTATAATCAGGGCATAGAAGAGGACAACAAAGCAAAAATTCATTAATAATTCATTAATGTTTATTATTTATCTTTTCGGGAAATTCTGGACTATTTGTATATATTTGTGGCTATTCCATAAATAGACACAGACAACAATCATCTATTTAATTACAAACCTTGTTCGTAAGTGCCATAATCTCACTCATAATCTTTTTTTCCTGAAATAAACGGGAAATTTGAAATTAGATGTTGCTATATATACATATATAATCCAAAATATTTCTTTAGTAAAATAACCTAATTAAAGTACGGAAAATACATGGTTCAGCTCTATTCTTTACAACCAAGAAATAAAAAGGTCAAGTCTACATTCAATTTGACCAAAGTCTAAATTTGAAAGATACGCCTGCAAAAGAATAGTCAGATTAGAAACTTGTTGATTTTTTTTATTAGGGTAATGTTAGAAAGACTAAATATTGTAAACTAAATCACTTACTTAAGTATTGATTAACGTGCTTATTTCTTATTAATGACACATCATTTAATTTGAAAATTTAAATATAAAATTCAGTCTACCTAGCATTACTCCTTTGATTAAACAAAAAGGTGTATACGACGCACAATGTGTCAATCTATTTATTTGATTAAGCTCGGTCATAGCTCACTCAAGCATAGGGCAAAAAGTTAAGAGCAGGAAGTGCAGTATTATTTTATGGAGTGTTAATAACAAATTTCTTATTTGAACAAAATTAAGATATTTGTCTTATTCTTTCCAAGAACAATATTTGAACAATGACTAATTAAGTAATAAATCTTCCGGATCATTGTACAATAATATGTATTAAGCCTCAGTTTTAAGTAATACCTTAGTTTTAATTACACGGCCAACGCTTGCTTCCACCAATTTTTCTAACTTGTTCAGTTGATACAGATCCAAGTCTTGAAGGTCCTCACCCTTCATTTGCCTTTTGCATGCCAAACCAGTTTCAGCAGACTCGTCAAACGATCATACCAGCCTAATTAACCACCATATATCTTACAAACAAATCGATAAATTATAATTACCTCAGCTTGCGGGTCTTATCCTCAAGTTCCTTACTCAGCCTGATCGTGTTTTCTTTCTCCGACTAATTAAATGGGAAATATATTTATATCATCATTTAGATAATCTACTCTGTCACGTGAAAAGCTTATAAACATCAGGCTCAAAAAGAAACAAGAAAGAAAACAAAATGTAATCTGTCACAAGAAAACTTAGAATGTTCAATGGAAGTTAAAACTATAACTTGGGAGTCATTACTCAACCCCAAGTACTTGCACATATTTAGTCCAACAGGCCAACCCTGCTGCATGCATATATAGAAGTCTAACTTGTAATGCTGTAAAAATATATTCCGATGCTCCAAGTGCAGATCAAAGAAAATATTACATTCACTTGACACAATTAATTGTTGTACCATTAAAAATATAAATTCTAGAGCAAAGTGGGAAAAAAAAAAAAAACTAATATTGAACCGAATAACCTGCAGTTGGTGAAGCGTGATTTGATCCGATTTTTCCCCACCAGTATGTGATTTGTACCTTGCAATCACATCCTTGGTACTTGACAACATAAAGGGATAAACTATAATTAGTATGTTTCATTATTACTTATGAATTATTCACATAAAAATAAAATTATATCCAACATAAAACCAATAGTGCTTGCATGTTGCACTTGCAAACACTTTTGCAATAATCCCAATAAATTAGTATTTGCATGTTGTATGCGGTTTTGTACGAGATCGTTATTTACTCTGCTCTTTTCTGGTTTAATTTTTTTTTACAAAAATAATTTAAAAACCGAGACTGAAATCAACCAACTTTGAACATGCATGCAAACAGAAAAACTGCTAGAATAAAATACCCCAAAAACATGCACATGAAATGCAGGAGGACTAATTTACCAAGAAGAAAACAAGATTAGGACAAATCAATACAACTTGGAGATAATTCATCAAGATTAACCAGCCACAACATGTCAACAACTATCTCTTTGGAGATATTTGGTTCTAACCGTTGCAATCCAACCAGCCAAAAGGCCCAAATCATTAGGGCAAAGCTTTTGGTTACCCATATCAAAAGGTCAAGTCGGAATATTATATATGAGATAATGAGATCATCAACTAAGGATACAGAATGACAAATAGGCAAAACCAACGTTGGGACTATCAGGTAACTAAAAGTGGGACTAAAAGTCTAAGTCAGTACCTCTCACATCAACTCGAGCATCATTGCAAATAGGATAGGCACTCATTTATGAGGAGGGAAATTCTCTCCTCTTATAATCTCTCTCCTTTATTTGAACGGTCACGGTTAATCCATATTAACATCTTATATTGATTTTTTTTATAAAGACAATAAGACAAAAAACAATGTGTAAAAGAAGGGGAGGGAAAGGGAAGAGAATAGGAGAGGAGAGAATCCTACTCCCACTAATGAATATTCTACATACATACATTTTTATTTTAATCTAATGATATTTTAACACACGTTTTAATATTTTGAACAATAATAGGCATGGCTTCAATAAAACAAAGAACACTTGGCATTTTTTGATTGATAGTAAGCACTTAAGTATTATTCTTGCAAATGTACTCACTTTTGATTTTGACCCAATAATATTGTAACACATGTTATATTATTTTAAAAAAAATAATAGACATGTTTAATTTTTCTTGCGCTTTAAAAACAAAAAACACATAATATCTTTTGATTGAGTCAAATTAAAAAGTGAGTATATGCCTAAGTATTATCATTTTTTTGTTGGCTTGATTGGTCTCTTTGATCCTGAATTTGTCAATGATCAACTATATTTTCAAAAGGTTTTCGATACAATAAACAAATAGAAATAAAAACAAGCAATTCTTGCTAACTTTTTCAAGTTTCTACCTTGTGCTTTTAATCTCGTCCACTGCCGCACAAAAAAAAAGGGATAAAAAGAGAGAATCACATACATCTAACCAACTTAATAACTCTACTTACAAGTAATGACTGATTTGATAATTTACTAAGTCCATCTAGTTAGAGCCATCCAACTTTAGTGGAAAAGACCTAAACATAATGCACTTAATTTGGAGGGATATCTTGGGGATACGAGAGTTAATATACTAATTGTTTTCCTTGTATATTTTCAAAAGGTGAAAGATCCTATGAGTTGTTTCCTAGACTATTAAGACTCATTTATACGACCTTAATATTATAAGTAAATGAATTGTGTTTCCTTGTTAATTGGAAGATTAATCCAAGCACACAGTACTTTTTTATTGGTCTTAGGTATCTTAGGACTTAATTAGGAGGCTTATTATTGTAGCACTGATTCCACAATTGTCAAGTCTTCACTATCTGCTTATGCAAGAATGTTGAGGTACACCTTCCAAGTCAACCTTCTTTCACATTTGGTTCCTATAATAGTTCCCTTAAGAAGACCACTCTCCGGAACACTGGAATCCTCCTCCGAAAGTGGGTGTTGGGGGGTAGGGGTGCTTATATATTCTATACTATAGTACTTAAGGACTTTAGCTTCGTAATCAATCGAATACAAGATGTTAGAAGGCGGGCTAACTCTATTACATGAACCCACTTGATCTTGGACAAATATCCTTAAAATCCATAACCCGACACTTGTTAAGATAACATTTCATCAATCACTCAAAACTAGTACTAAAGGACTATCCATAAGCTATACAAAACTTAACATGCACTTCCTTGACTATAATTTAGGGCAATATTGGCAATCCATTCTCACGTTTACCGCAAAAATGGAGGCACCTAACCTTGTATATACTTCATTGATGTGTCGTGTTCACTGTTGCTGCATGAGATTCTCAAATGAGCTCAAGGGGATGCAGGCAAGTAACATGTTGAAAATTTTAGTATGATAAAGTTTTTAATATTTTATATCTAGATATATAGGTGAAGAACTTTAATAGTAAGTTTTATCCAGCTTTAGACGACGTTATTATGAGTAGTCTCTAAATTGCACAAACATATCACACACATATGCATTGTATATTATTTGTTTGATATATTTGGAGAGAAGTTGGGCTTGTAAAGAGGTGAATGAAACCTAATTTGTGTCCCCCAATTTTGAGTTTGTGAGAACAATGTCCAAAGCATCTTGAATGAGAAGTAAGCTATACAGAATGCTTTGATATTCTTATAGCAACTCAAAAATGCTTGGTTTGATGTTACGTTAAAATTTTGGACCAAAAAAAAAAAGTTAGGTTAAAATGCTTTCGGTGCTGATGAAGTGTATCCAATGGCTTTGAGAAAGATTTTTAACTATGAAAAAAATATTCTAAACTTTCCATGAGAGCTTGAGATGTAGGATCCCCAAAGCCCCAAGTTTAGTAAATAAGTTGGTGGTTGGTGTTGGCTAAACTTGGATTTAGTATCAAGGCTAAAGCGTTTAGGGTGGTCGACGAATTTTGTCCATGGAGCTTGGGTTTCAAAAGTAAGAGAGTAAAAAGAGCTTAAAAACTTGAGGTTATGGAAGAAAAAATTGTAGTCATACTTGTGGATGGCTTATTGGGAAGCTTGCAGCAGCCAAGACAGATTTCTTGCAGCTAGGAGAAGGAAGTCCTCCATACCTACAGTTGAAGGAAGTAATAGAAAATGCTTTATGCTAGAATGCTTGCAATACCAATATCCTCTCCTCTTGTTTTCTTAATACACGCCCAATATATAGAGGTTGAACCACTGTCTTATTTCTAGTGAGCAAAAGGAGGCACTAAAACAACAACAACAACAAAGTCTTATCCCACTAAATGAGGTCGACTATTGTATTTTTGATGACCCGTTCTTGTTGGTGATCACATGCTCTTCTATCTTTTTAACGAAAGTATAGACTAAAAAATATCACATGCCAATGCAAAATCTAAGATGTTGGCCAATATACATATAGAGGTTGAAAAATTATCTTCTTTATAGTGAGTAAGAAGAGGCGTTGGAAACTACTTGTTTTCAATGAGCATTGGAATCTTCTTCCAAAAGTAGCTTTTTGTTCTTTCTTAATTTACAAAAGCATTTTCAATTTGTTCCTTTGTTGCTTTAGATAATGTTTATAGAGGTGTGTTTTTAGGAAGTAAACACATATTTTTGGGTCAAAATCAAAGGAATAATGGTAGTAGACCGAGGTGAGGTGAGCTCTAGCACGGTAATAACAGATCATGCACAAGGCAATGAGATTTGAGTGGTTCGCTGGGCAGCATCCACTTCGTATTGTATTTAATAATCATTTGACATGGGCATCCCACTTGGAAATCTGTTAGATTTAGGAGACTTTCACAAGAAGAATGGGAGAGGTGAGAGAAATGGAGAGTGATTCCAGAGTAAGTTAGCCTAATCTTTTGCTTGGAGGTGGCTGCTTTATATATCCATGAGAGACCCCACAGCTGGTTGACATGTGGCTCAATCCAGGTGATGGAGAGTATATAAAAACACAACCGGTCAAAAATAGCCTTTCCAGCCTCGAGGCACCAATATCTATTCATATCTGATCGACATCTGGCATCTCAAAATGTGATGGGGTGTAAGGGCTTTATGGTCGACACGTGCCCTACATATAATGCCCAAGCCGACATGGTACAATTAAACAAGAGCAACTCGGCCGAGTCGGCTCAGTTCTCTCAGTGGTGACCAAGCTTAGTAGAGCTGACATGGATAATCATTCTATGGCCTGGCTATCAACAAAGGGAATGAGGTCAACTCGCCTTGGTTATCGGGTGGTGATGACCACAACTTAGTCAAGTTGACATGGATGATGTCCCTAAACTCTAAATTCACGCGACGATTCCTTATTGGTGCATCCGATTTGGAAAAGGAATAGATATAGAGTCTAATAATAAAATAGGAAGATCTAGATAACAAAAAGCTCATTCGCTCTCTACCAAATAGATGTGTTAACATCTTATAAGCTAGTAAGCTAGTTTTAGATTTTCATTAACAAAATAAACGATGTAAAAGACACCACCATACAATAAAGGCATCTTTTCTATGCACGTTGATTTGGAATGACAGATTGATACACTAAATCCTATAGTATACATTCTAGGTTAAATAGACCACTTTAGAAATGGTATTTTAGTTTTATTAATATTGTCATCACTTACTATGTGGAGGGAATATTTTTTTTAACTAAAACATAAGCACAACTTTATCTAAATTCTTATTCCACAATTACATTTCTACATATTAATCTCACCCTTCCTCTCATGCACATTATTTATGGAAGTAGGTTTAAATCTTTGCAACTACTCAGGTTCGTTTATTGTTTCATGCATGCATATAAAAAAAACAGGTTATATACGGCCAATAGCTGCACCGCTCATTGCCCTACTTGACGCATGCATGCATATTTCCTTCTCAAAGGTCTTCAAGGCTTCTACGATGAATCCCCAAGTTTTCATCATATCACCTTATTCCTAGTAAGAAAAATCCAAAGCATATATATATATATATGTATATATAATTGAATGTTCGTATTTTAAGTCCTTACAAATTAACCGTCATTGTAGTTTAGGTGGGGAGGATGAAGGACAACTTTTGGAACATAACCCAACATCATGTGTTGAAGTTGACATGGATATACATATACATATACATATTGGTATGTATATATATTGTAAGTAGATAGTGCTACACTCTTTTACTAGCTAGAGTATTTTATAATTATTTTATGTTGTCAAATTATTTATTTATAACTGATTATTTGAATTCTAGTAAGAATGATGGTCTAAGAAATAATATACCGTGTATCTAGAAAGGGAAACGGTGTACCCCATTTAAAAGGATACTCACATATATTCTTCATTTCATAAACCCCACTAATATTTTATATATTATTATCTACAACCGATTTGTGATAGGTAGGGGAAATCAGATTAAAGCGGCAAGATAAACTATGAAAAGCAAAGAGTGGCTTATATATATATATTATTATTATTATTATTATTATTATTATTATCTACAACCGTAAAATAGTAATAAGATTACATTTCACTAGACAAGTGGCTTTTATATATATATATATATATAGATTTCTGCATGGCGGACACGATTGCATTTAGCATGAAAAGCAAAGAGATCAGCAAGTAACTTACAAAGAATCACCACAATTCCACATATTGAAGGCATGTAAAACTACGAAAAATGTTCTCAAACTTGGACACCTAGCTAGAAGTTGTCTCAATCAAAAGTACACCTCACTTTTCTGAACTGGAAATTATGTAGTTATCCTCGTACTAGCTAGTTAACTCTCTCTCTCTCTCTCTCTCTCTGGGTGAAAGTTCTTAGATTCTCTAGCCTTTCTTCTGTGCCTTATCTAGCTGACACCATAAATTATGTGTGCTTGTGTACATGCGTGGATGACCTATCTAGCTAGTTAGCACTTTCCTCCTTATATATACATATAAATTTTTTTGACTCTAATGCTGAATCTTTCTCTCTCTCTCTCTCTCTAAGAGAGAAGTCAGGTCAGGTACTTGGTTATATTAATTTGTTCAGGTAAGGAAAATTCGAAAGAATTTAGAAGGCGGTGGGATGTTGTACAGTATTTGTACCTGGAGCTTGAGTAATCAAAGAGCTTGCCAGTTTGAGAAAAGATGATAACAGCAACTTCAGATTCACACAGAATCGACAGCTCTTCAGCTTTCTTGAAAATCCCTCTTCTCCTCTTTGAGAAGGTCACCTGCCTTGCCGGCAAGTAGTCGATCCTCCTAATCTTGATCTTCTCATTCATCCTTTTCACCATGTCTTTCTACCCCTGCAAAAACAACTAAATCAAATAAATAAAATAAACCAACCACTTTTCACATATATATAATCGTTCACAAACTAAAAAACTAGCATATATTTTCTGGGTTTTTTTTTTCATAATTTTAAAGATTATTGACCTCAAACCCTAGCATCTCAGATCTAATAACAGATTATTGACCTCAAACCCTAGCATCTCAGATCTATATAAGAAAAACAAAACCCAGAAAAACTGACCACAATCAACTGTCCAACAAGCCTACAGTATTTAAGGAGGAGGAGGAGGAGGAGGAGGAGGAGGAGGAAGACCATACATAAATTAATTACACTGGGTTTTCCGTTATTATTTGTTTACCTTCGTTGTGGGGTTCAGGTCTGAAGTTTTGGGAAATTTGCAGAACAGCGAAAGAAAAGCCAGCAATTCTGGAAAGAGAAGAAGATGGAGAAGAGAGAGAGTTGGGGTGCTGCCGGCAGTTCAAGAACGGAAAGGTTGCTAAATTAATTTTCCTATTTATGGAAAAATAGGAAATATCTTTCTTTGGTATCCACTATTTGCGCCTTTTTCTTTTTTTAGATATTTTTTGGGAAAACAAGGTTAGAAACGTGGAACGCAAATCAGTTGGTGTGATGAGTGATGAATGCGATCACGACCGTCTATAATATGTGGACTGGACGACAGTAAGGCTGGGGATTCTCAGTTTAATTCTTTTTACGTACCATACGGTTTGATTTTCCTCACCCACTTCGTCTTTCTCACTTCTTTATCCCAAAGAGCGGCGGTAGCTGCAAGCGGCGATCTCTGCGACACTTGCTGGCAATACTCATTCCCACTTGTGAAACAAAACTCCCCAAACCCGAACGCCCCGAGTTTCAGTAGCCGTATTCTCCAAACCCTCTTCCACCATTGCCATCCCGGCCCTCTCGTTTTCTCTGCAGAGCAATATCGTCTTATGATTTTACTAATTTAGATAAATTATGGTCAGTGGTTCTATATCTCCCTCTCCTCTTCTCTGCAATCTCGTCATGTGACTGAATCTTCATTTTTTTTCTGTGGCGGTGGTTTGTTGAGATCTGTAAAAAAACCAAAATTATTTTCATGTATCTGCAGAATATGTAAGTTCGCTGAGCCGCGGCACCGCTAACAGATCAAAGAATACCTGTTGCCAATCCACCAGTATAGGTCCCGCCTAACTCCTGGAAGGCTCCTTCTCCTGTACCCAACAGATTTGATTTAGGGTTTGTCAGACAGACGGCGGCAGGAGAAGAGGGGCATCGCCGACATAAGGGACATAAAATGCGAAATGAAATATGGTAAGAGAGAATGCATGGCAGTAAGTGTATGATAGGAAAAGCATGGACATCTAATTGGAAAACCGAGCGAATGTACAATTATAACCGACACGTGTCAATTCCAAGCTTTGAATTTACTGTCTACTTTATCTGAATTATTGAAATAGTAATGTTTATAAGCAACCTCCATTTAAGCCATATTTTACAAATTGTATTTTATTAATCATATGACTTTATCTGAATCATATGATTTTATCCGAATCATATGATTTTATCGTCGATGATTGAATTATTATTTAATTGTTAATTAATATGTTTATTTTCTATTAATGACACATCACAAAATTTACAAATACGGTCTAAAGAATTAATCTATTGCCATGCCGCATGGAACACAAATATAACACAAAATGGCACTCCCCCGGATATGTCTTCCAATAACTCGACTTCATTTACTAATTTTAAGGAAGTGCGCTCTCCATCTTGGTCAACTTCTTAACTAGGAAAACTAAGGAAGCCTGAAAATAGAGAATACAAAATTAATTAGCAAGTTCACTGAAAATGTTGTAGCATCCTGGCCGTACAGTTATACCAACATCATGAATTTGCGATCTCGTACGAAACCATGCAAGTGATTTTATGTGCCGTATGCTGTAGTATTGAGAGAGTGGAATCCCATATTTTCGGTTGAATAACGGCCGGTGATCGTCACTGTAACAATCTATTAGTTGACAACTTAACATGAAATCATGCTAGTGATTCACATTACATAAAATAAATATGCACAGGTAGTGCAAGTAAGGGAGAATTTATCGCATGATCAATGTTAGACACTAATCCAATAGCTAGGTTAGACGATTCAGATAATATTTGTAGAAAAGTTTTAAAAAAAAAAAAAAAAAAAAACAAAAACAAAAAATTAGTTTCAATGGATAACACATCTGTGCCATCCTCCACTATTTACCTTTGGTTTTCTCCAGATTTTTCTTTTGGGTGAGGAAACAAACCAAACGCTCCAAAGAAACATTAGGTACACGAAAAAAATTCAGAACAAAACCCAAATGAGCACTTGAGCTAATCTATTGACGTACAAAAAAAATTCACAACAGTCGGTTTTTCTTTAATTTGGTACAAACTAGTTGGTTTCTTCAAATATTAATTCTCTGTTTTTAAGTAATAACGGGCTAAAATAAAAAACAGGAAAACCTATATCAAAACTCAACGTCAAAGAAGGCGTGGCAATCCCAATTTTATCTTTGAACACAAGCTTGAGCTCGCCACGAAAGAGATGGACTACGTTCAACCCAAGCTTTTATGAAGACCTTTCCTAATGGCTTTTTTTTTTTTCCCTTAAAAGAAAAGAAAATTTAAGTGCTTTAAACCGGTAATGTGTAAAATTCGACCTGATCATGCTGAAATGAATCAGCTTGAGAGAACCACCCACGATACGTAAGCAAAAGCTCCGCGAGGACAGCAAAATATCCCTTGTTAGCTTCTAGCAGCTCAGCTCCCTGCATGTATAATCAGTGCATGCAGAGGACAACAAAGCAAAAGTTCATTAGTGATTAATTATTTTCTTTCTGGAAACTCTATTTTATATATAGACACATACACAACAATCATTTATTTAACTACAAACCTTTTTCTCACTCGTAATTTTTTTGTTTCCCTGAAAGATGGAAATTTTGAAACTAGATGTTGCTGTATAGATATACAATCCATAAAAAAAATGTTATTCTTACCATATTTTTCATACCACATTTGTACAACATTTCTAATAAGGTATGGCCTCAGATGTGGTACAAATATGGTATAGAAAACGTGATAAGAGTAGCATTATGTCTTTCATAAAATAACCTAATTAAAGTATATATACTTGGGTCAAGTTTACATTCTTTACAACTGCCCCAAAAAAAACCAAAAAAAAAAAGAGGTAAAGTTTACATTCAAATTAACCAAAGGCTTAACGTGTTGATCTATTTATTTGATTAAGCCCAGCCATAGTTCACTCATGATAGTGAAAAATATGAAATTAGAGGAAGAAGTGCAATATTACTTTTATGGAGAGCTAATAACAGATACTCTATTTGAACGTTTTCAAGACATTTGTCTTATTTTGCAAGAATGATATTTGAACAAAGACTAATTAAGCAATAGATCATCCGGATCTTTGCACAATAATACGTACTAAGACTCAAAAATGTTTTCCTCTATCTGAGGGATACCTAGATTTTAAAAGCCATGGTCAGATGTATTCACTTGTAACAGTATAAATTAGCTAGCTAGAACATACCTTAGTTACAATCACACAGCCAAGGCTTGCTTCCACCTATTTTTCTAACTTCTGCAGTTCATCCAGACCCTAGTCTTGACGGTCCTCACCTTTCATCTGCCTTTTGCATGCCAAACCAATTTCAGCTGACTCTCGTCAAACGATCATCCCAGCTTAATTAACCACCATATATCTTACAAGCAAACTGATAAAATATATTTACCTCGGCTTGCGGGTCTTATCCTCAAGTTCCTTACTCAGCATGATCTTGTTTTCTTTCTCCAACTATTTAACGGGAAATATATTTATACCAAACCATCATTTAGATAGTCTAATCTGTCACAGAATCACATGAAAAGCTTATAAACATCAAGCCCAAAGAGAAACAAGAAAGAAGAAAATCTTAGAACAGCACAAAGCACAAAATTGGATATCGCCTATTTTTATGCCAAAAGATGTTTCGTTTATAGATTCCAAATGTCACAGTGAAGGGAAGGGAGAAAAGGGGCAAAAGACGGACTACTTAAACATGCTTGAGCATGGATATTCAATTGTAGCAATCTCCAGGTCATTTGATTCCTACGTAACAAGAAACCATACATGAAACTTTTTTCCATGAGCAAAACTCAATGATTCAAATGAATACTAACTAATAACACAAGTTAAAATTTATCCAAAAAAAAAAAAAAACCCAACTTAGAACTTCAATGGAAGTCAAAACTATGACTTGGGGTCATTACTTAACCCCAGGTACTTGCACATATTTAGCCCAAGAGGCCAACCATGATAATGTGACAACTATGGGTCCCACATTTTGATTCAAATTTTTGCCACATGGACAAACAAACAAACAATTAAAATTGGATACAACTATGATTCTAGGCTGAGCGGAGGATCGTCTGATTTTGGGCTTAGTCTAATTATCGGCTCCGTGGGCTGATTCTTCAAAATATTTTTTAAATTTATTTTAAATATTTATTTTATTTTTATAATTTATATAATTTCAATTAGTTGTTTGTCCATATGGCACAAATTTGACATCACATTATTAAAAATGTGAGACTCACAGTTGACACATCATCATTTAACATTAAATTAACGGACCGACTAACGGATGTATGATATTTCAACGAAATAGTAAGTTGACGTATGAAATAGCAATGTTCAAAAATGAGTTACGAGTTTGTTATGAGATGCAAACTTGAAGATGCAAAATGTAATTTACCTTTTTATTTATGTTAAAGAAATCATATGCCGTAAAATTACACTCCATAGCTCCAAGTGTATAGATCACAGAATGCGATACATTCACTTGACACAGTTAATTGTTATACCACTAAAATTGGAAAATTAAAGAGCAATTAGGACGGGAAAAAGGAAAACCAATATTCAACTGAATCACCTGCAATTGATCAAACGTGGGTTGATCTGATTTTTCCCCAGAAGTATGTGATTTGAACCTTGCAATCACATCCTTGGTACTTCACAACATAAAAGGATAAAATATAATTAGCATGTTTCATTATTATTTATAAATTATGACACATCTATAATAATAATATTCAACAAAAAAAGAGACAGAGAATTAGTTAGTGCTTGCAAATACTTTTGCAATAATCCCAATAAGTTAGTACTTGCATGTTGTATGCAACCTTGTATGAGATTGTTATTACTATGTTCTTTTCTGGTTTAATTTTTCTTTTACAAAAATAATATAAAAACTGTGACTGAAATCAACCACTTTGAACATGCATGTAAACAGAATAACTGCTAGAATAAAATACCCCAAAACAATAAGACAAAAACATGCACAGTTAAATGCTACAGAACTAATTTACCAACAAGAAAACAAAATTACAACAAATTAATACAGATTTGGAGATAATTCATCAAGATTAACCATCCACAACAATCTCACTTTGGAGATATTTGGTTATGTTGCAAACCAACCAGCCAAAAGGCCCAGAACATTAAGGCAAAGCTTTCTGGAGGTTTTATTGCTTGGTCTGGTTACCTGGATCAAAATGTCCAGTCGGAATATTATCTATGAGATAATGAGATCACCAACTGAGGATACACGCAACAAAAAGGCAAAACCAACGTTGGGACTATCAGGTTAACTAAGCAAATGGGCCTAAAATGTCCAAAACGTTCCTCTCACATCAACTCAGACATTATTGCAAATATGCTTTAATTGTTCTATTCGCTACGGCCACTTTTTGGCGGGTGGCTTGATTACCAATCCTGAATTTGTCAATGCTTTGCTACCATAGTTAGCAAAATAATATAAGAATAAGGACGACATACAAAATTGCATGAACTATAAGCATATTAAGTTAATGAATCATACAATGAAGTTTTGGAAGGGATAAATTAGATATAAACTGAGGGAAGAGACATGATTCTCACACATTTAACTTGAGTTCATGCCAGAGTGCTCCACTACAAAAGTAATCTATCTCTTATAGAGATCGATGGAACGATGCAGAGATATGCAAGAGAATTGCACATGGTCTTTATAGATGTGAAAAAGGCATATGATAGGGTACCAAGAGAGTTTGAAAGACTCTAGAGACGAAAGGAGTATGAGTAGCATATATCGAAGCAATCAAGAATATGTATGATAGAGAAAAGATTGTAACTAGAACTCATGAAGAACAAATTGAAAACTTTCCCATAACTATATGATTACACCAAAGCTCAGCATTAAGTCTTTACTTTTTTGCCCTCTATAACTCAAAAGTCACCACTTTACTCCTCGGAACTCAAAATTCGCTCCAGTTTGACTTCCTTAAACTCGATTTTGATCCCATTTTACCCATTAACTCAAAAGTCGTCATTTTACTCTATAAAACTCAAATTCGCTCCAGATTGCCTTAATTCTGTTAATTTTGTTATGTTGAATGCTAACGCATAGTGGAGATTTATTATACTTTCTATTAATTTCGTCATTTTACTCTATAAAACTTGATTTTAATATTTTCTGATTATTGAATGTTACCATATGAAGATTTATAATCAAATTCATTGGCATGTGTGGCACAGTCTTATTAGGTGGTGGGTCCCACATGTTTCAGGGAGGTGACTTTTAAGTTTCAGAGAAAAGATATAGTCCACAAGTCAAAGTAGAAGGAATTTTGAGTTTCATGGATTAAAATGTTGATTTTGAGTTATAGATGGCAAAGTGAGATCAAAATTGAGTTCCAGAGTGTAGTTGTAAATAAACCTAAGTTTTATCCTCTAGAAGACTTTATCATGAGTGATCTACAAATTGCATAAACATCACACACAACGAACATATGAATATTATTTCTTTTAGATACTCGGATACTAATTTATGTTGTACTTATGGCGAAATGTTTTGTAGTTAATAGTTGACAGGAATGATGGGAATTTCATGAGTGGAATTGATATGGCTTGATGGGAAGCTTGCAATAGCCGAGATAGGAATTCTACCAGCTAGGAGAAGAAGTCCTTCTCCATGCCTAGTTGAAGGAACATGATAGAAAACGCTTGATGCTAGAATGCTTGCAGCACTAGAATCATCTCCTCTCGTTCTGTCACCAAATATACGGAGGTTGAAAAGTTCTCATTTACGGTGTGTAAAATTG